TGTGCTGCTCGGGAAGTTGGCTCAGGAGAGAAGCGCTGGGTGCCGATTGCGTCGCCAACGCTAGTGCAATGGCCAACAGTGGGCAAGTGGCAAAATCCTCGTCTGGAAAAAGAGAGAGGCCTTGCTCTTCGGATGTCTTCACTCGGATGAAACGCACAAAAAAGATATTCCCCGACCCGATCGACAGATTTTCCTTCCGTAGCAATGTGAGATCAGACGCGCGTCCGAAGAGAAACCAAAGCAGACACAAGATGGCTGCGTCCTGATAATCGGACGCTGTAGAAGCAGTTGAATACAGATACGTCAGCATTTTCTTCAGTGCCTCCTTCGTACACGCCGGCGCCTTGTTGACAAATGTACCGGACTCGCGCTTCATGCAGTACCGCTCCAGAACTTGCCCTTTCTTGAGAAGGTTCTTCTCCGTCGCTGGTCGAAGCTGTGGAAACTGCTCCAGCAGCCAATTCTTGGCCTGTCGATAATACTGCATCACCGAATGTCTAGCCAAGAGCTGACCGTTGCGACCTTTCTTGAAGGCTAAATGCATGCCAAACTTGTCGACCACTGCTTCCAGCACGGTTGCAGCGTTGTCGCGCTTCATACACACCTCTAGGTACTCCCACGTCACGCCTTCGTCCTCGAGGAAAGTCTTGAAGGAGCGAGACGCGCTCTGGCGGGCACGCTTCGTGTTGGTGGGTGCGAGGTCAGTGAGGCTCATGCTGTGTCGGAGAGGTCGGAGCTTGCGTGTTATTTGTGAAATATGCGAATGAGTACATGTTTGTATGGGAATATCAATAACAGCTACAATGGCTCCGACCAGATATGTCGGAGCGGATATGAACAAACTCGACTCGAATGGGATTGGTTAAAATCGTGTCTATGCTGTTGTATTATTCGCTGAAATTCTAATCAGGCGTGTTGATTGGTCAATAACACAAATAGTGAGCTCAAGTGTAGTCGGAGGTTTAACGATATTCATCCATAGCTAGAATCGACCTATCGACTGGTGTATTTTAATGATAGGGCCAAAAAAGCGTCCTCGACATTTTCGCCCACTGTAAAAACGCACTCACAACGATGAACACCTCGGACCTGAAGTTACCAGAAGACCTGGAAGATGTGACTCTGTCGGACGTCGCGGAGCTCTTGGGCGTTCTGGATAATGATGCAAGCCATGATCTTCAAATCGGCCTGAAGGAAGTCAAACCCGATGAGTCGAATGCCACAGCAAAATCCCGTCCGAGACCGAAAAAGGCATCAAATCAACCGTCCAGAAAACGAAAGAACAAGCCAGGCTACTCGACTCAACGACTACGTCGGAGAAAGGCAGAGGCAATTGAACTAAGCAGACAAATCCCTATCCTAGAGGAGTGACTGGCACGAGTGAAACACCCTCGTACCGTCGACGGCGAGCGAGGAATTTCGCCACAACAGCGGAAACAGAGTAGCAATCAATGGGCGTCACTGCACTGGAAGAGTTTCGCAAGCGTCGTATGGCTGAGACCATCAACAGAAAACTCAAGGCCGTCCTGGCGCATCAAGTTAAGCTCAACAGGGCCTTGTTAGGGGTCATCCAAGATGAATCTGCGCTTAGTGTGCGTAGCTAATTGTACTTCACGTCTTGCTAACCACTGTCTAACAATTTTGTTCTAGCAGGAGAAGAAATTCGTGTTTGAAAGCCCACCAACAGCTCGAACAGCACTCTCAAGTCTTGATAATAGTCACGCACTAGTCGAACAACTCGCCCAAGCTGTACCACATCTGTACTCGCTGTCCGAGACTTTGTTTTCCCATAAGAACGTGCCGTCTTTCGGTTGCAGTATGCAGCCCGGCATTGACGTGTTTGGCGGTAGAATCATCGAACTCGTCGCGAGGGTTCCAGTTGAGAACTCGCTCAAGCAGGTTAGCGACGTCATGTGGCAGGACCTCAACGGCCCCTGCAATATGCCAGACAAGTCGTACCGCTACGTAAGTTCTCAAAAAGAGTTGTTCTCTTTAAAAAAAAAGAGAGAGAGAGAGAACGACCTATTTCTCCATTTTACTGACGTGTTTTGTGTTCTTCTAGATGAATGAACGAGGACCTGATGCCGTGGCCAAGAGCTTCGACTTAACTGTTCGATGCCCCAGTCGCACAACGGCAACCCACGGTCTCCAATACTTGCAATGGTTCGAGGAGGAAGAGCAAATCGTTCATATTCGGCTATCCAAGCTGCTGCTTCCGACTGAAGGACTGCAATTGTGCAGTCACGCTTGGTCCGTCATCTCGAAAACTACAACTGAAAAGTGCGAAGTGAAATTTTACTTGCAACTCTTTGTCGAGCGACAGGAAGGGTTTTCGGCGGTGGAAAACGATATCAAGTTCATTCAGGAAGATGTGCTGGACACGTGGGCGATGAAGTTGCGCTCGCATTGGCAGTGGCAGCAAGAGTTGGTGACAGTGAACACTACACGGTAAAAAACAAATGAGTTAGGGAAGACACTTCCCAGTGCCCAAATTCCTACTGACAAATACACGTACATTAGTTCTCAACTTCCTCGTGTACATGTAGTGGGAAGCTGATAAGAACCATCAATCCAGCGCCAACGAAATCGTCAATTTGCAAACGGCCAACACGACCAAGCTACAACCACCCAAGCACATGCTTTCCAGGACTGTAAACGTCAATGGGATGTCAGTGCAGACGTCCGTCGAACATCGCGTCGTCAAGATGAGCCTCTCGCTAGTCCAGTGGACTAAGATCCAAAGATCCACTCGTGTCAAGCGCAACGGGACGAAGGTGACGATCCATTTATCGATAAAGATACTGGAAAAACACACCGACAACAAGAGCTGCAAAATCGTCAAGTTTTACTTTACTTTCATCCGTACTTTATCTGTAGGGCCAAAACTTTTGTGAACCAAAAAGTCCGTGGAATCGGCGGACACGGTTCTTCTATCAGGAGGTGGCAGGAGCTTCGACCGCTCTTCAAAGCGCCGCATGCGCCGTCGAGTCGGGGCCATCCGCTCTTGCCATTGCAATTTCCACGAATTGCAGTCTTTTGTAGCCGTCGGGCTCGTGTTTTTTTCATCAGTGGACGTCACTGGGTCACTCACTCACTCTGTTTCACACTCAAAAAGTCTCTCAGCCTATGCGGCGGTGACGCCCGTCGGCTTGGGAGTGGGGGTCGTGGCGGCAGAGACACTCGATGTCTTCATGTGGCCACGCTTGTCGTTCTTATTGTCCACAAAGAATTGGGCCGCGTAGTCCGAAGATCCGGACGCGTGTGAAGCCATCCCTTCGCCAGAAGTTTGAGTGGGGAACCCCTGGCTCTGGAAGTTGTGTGCCGCTAGACCACGCGGCGACAAGAAGTCCATCTTAATTCTCTGTTGCGTGTTGCCGTGGACCGCAGCAGCGGCAGCCATTGCCGCCATGTGGCTGCGCGGCGCGTTGTTGCCGTTGTTTTGGTTGTGCTGGTTGTGCTCGAACACGTTGCCGAGGTTCTCGAGTAGCGGCGTGGCACCTCCGCCGAAGTGGCCGTTCTGGTGGAAGTTCATGGGCGTGTCGGGGCCCATGAGCTTAATGTAGTCGCTCATCATGGCGTCTTCGCCTCCACCGGGTGTCCGGTCGGTCAGGCGGGGCGTAGGGAACAGACCCAGAGACAGATAGTTGCCGTTGCCACGCGACACGCTGGGGGGGCCACTGGCAAGGAAGCTGTCGAGACCTGGCGTGCGCTGTCCACTGGATGTGGCGTTAGCTCCAGAGTTCGTCATGGCCAGCACACTGGGAAGCTGCGAGTTGTCAATTTGTGGCGACGGGAGCCCCATCAAGAGCGAAAACTCGTGGCTGCGGGGCGTGGGGAAGCTGTTGCCGAGTGGCGTGCGCAGATTGAACTTTGGCATGGTCGTTGGCACATTAATTTTCAGGGGCAGACCGAACGGGTTGCTCTGCTGTTGGTTCTGTGGCGGCATGGGCTGGCTCTGGGGTACCTGAATAGTGAGCGGGTGCGGCTGCATGTGCTGCGGCGCGTGGATCTGCTGCTGGATCTGCTGGTGGTGGAACTGTTCCTGCTTCATCTGCTGCTCGCGCTGCTGCTGCTGGCGCTTCTTGCTGCTGAGTCGGCCTCCCTTGGAGATGTTGAGCTCGGGCACTTCTTCGCCGTGCGCGCGCAGCTCCATGGCGTGACGGAAACAGATGGAGCCAGAGTGCTGTGCGGTTTTGTTGCATCCCTCGACGCGGCACTCGTGGCCGTGCGAGTGGCGGTTGCATAGACCGCCGGCGCGCGCGTGTTGCATGCAGCCGTCCACCTTGCAGCGGCGCCCTCCGCCGTGACGTACGCATTTCTGGCGCGCGTGTGCCTGCTTGGAGCAGCCCTCGACGATGCAGAAGCGCTTGACCACGAACCCGCCGTGCTGCAGACAGAAGCCGCCGCCGCGCGCGTGCGCCTCGCAATTATCCGCTTGGCACTGCTTCTTGCCGCCGTGACGCACACACAATTTGCGCGCGTAGACCTGGTTGGTGCAGTTCTCGACGCAGCACTGGCGCCGGTTCTTGTGGAACGCGCACTTGCTGGTGCCGTCCACCGCGAGGTTGTCGCAGTCGTTGAAGCGGCACTTCTTGGGCTTGCCGTCCGCCGCGCTGTTCTTATTGGCGGGAGATGCGTCGCCGTCGCTGCTGTTGGCGCTGGGCGACGCGCTGGGGCTCCGCGTCTCGGCGCTCATTGGGATATGTGTGATGTGGTAGAGAGGTTTTTAACAGCTAAAAGCGACGGGAGTGATGGTCGTTATGCTTGGCAATGCCACGACCGAGAGGGGTGTGTGTCGAGTTGCCAGCAACTTTCGGAATGACAACCCTGCGGCCGCAGCGGCTGTCGTTCGCTCGGCCTCCAGCCGCAAGGCAGACGAGTCGGACCACGCCGCCCGTTTTATGTGTCATGCCCGTTTTCTGAATCAGCAGGTACCTCGGCGATCCCACTCTTTTCCGTAAATGATACGGCTGCCAGAATGTGCCCTGAATAAAGGGCCCCCCCCCCCCCCCCCCCCCCTCGCTTCAACTCGGAAACCTGGACGAATGTCTGGAATGCGTTTGGTTTCGCTTTGTCTGGCTGGGAGGCTTTGCATTCGTTTGCGGAGGAACACATCGATACAGCAGAACAATCTGCGAATCGATCCACTAAAGAGCGAGAAGGAATGGGGAGGATATGCCGCTCATGCTCGGGATAGGCAGCAACGGCTTTCACAACGGAATCCGGGGCGGTGCGTCCGGAGATTGCTTAGATTGCTGCAATGATGACCTCAATCCAACCACCGTCTTTCCAACCTGTGCAGTAAGCACTATGCGGCAGCTTGGTGATCGGGGCTGCCTTATTTGAATTAAGATTTCTTCGAGTCAATCGATTACAGGCATTACTTAAGCACCGCTATTCCAAGCACAGACTAATTCTTAGCCAAACTTAGCCCGCAAACCAGCAGACAACACTCCTCATAAAAGTTAACTTCTGTCTCTACTATTGTTTTTTTTATTTAACTCATTACTGAGCATTTTGGCGGCAAAATTCAAACTTGGCTCTATACGCACGTTCTGTCGGCTCCGGATCGCTCCCCCAGCCACAATCGAACAATCCAGTACGTCAGTCGCCCCATCGTATAGGAGCGAGTGCGTGCGTGCCAAGCATCGGGACAGGATGAGTCTTCTGCCTTGCCTAAGTGCAAGGCGAAGGTCAGCGAGCATGGCGCTGCGCCTTGGATTCGTGCCCATTCGAGTCAACACTCCGCTCCAGCAGCTGGCGAAGACTGCCTCGTAAAGAGAGGATCCGTCTGTGACCATCAAAGGCATCAGCACACCAGGCTGTGGGGTTCATCAACAGCAGCAGCAGTATGGAGCATCTAAAAGGCAGGAAGAGGAGCAGCAGACCCACGCTGCGATACGTGTGGTACCCGCAGATGATCCTACGACTTATGATAGATGGCAGGCGGGCGATCTACTGTACTGGCGACAATAGCAATACATGTATTTAATACATGCAGCAAGCATTATCGAGACACCGTCAAAGCCGGGTTCGCTCGACTCGTCTCCCGCGCAACAACAAGCCATCACAGCCTGGTGGCATGGACACCGGCGTCGCCGTCGCCATCGCGGCATGTTTGCCGAGCCAGGATCGCTTCAAGTCCATACTCATTTTACGTGTCCCATTGCAAGGGCCTTTCCCCTCGCTTGACTGACCGCAACTACATGTACTTCAACGAGATCTTGGCAAAAGTGCACCTTAGAGAGCAGGACGCACGCAATAATGCTGCAGTGCTTCAGAGCGGTGCTCCAAAGCCATGGCTGCCCGGAGCCGAGTGCCTAGAGACCCTTTCTGCGGCGCACGCACGGTGTCTGTTTGCGTGGAACGCCATGGCTGGTGCCGCGCTATTACATGCTCTCTTCATCAAAATTCCAGCCCAGCTCCGCGCCATCCTGTTCTGCCACGGTGAGGCCATCGGCAGCCAGGCCTGCGCTCGCTAAAAAATCCAAAGTGTCGAATCGGTCGCTCGATTGCAACACCAAAACACCAGCGAGCGAAGCAAACCGCCTCCAGTTCCGGGCGAGAAAGAGTCTTCTACTTCCATAACAAAACGTCGCAAAGCGTCCAGGAAAAAAAAACTGAGCCCGAGTTGCCGCCTAGTGAACTGCAGCACCGCGAGTTCCCGGCGCCGTGCTGCGTTTCATGTCACGTGGTCCAGTGCCCATGACGGACAGGCTCTACTGTGTCTCCAGTGCGAAATGACAACACCTGATCTCGGGCCCATCAAGATGACCTTTGACAAGAAGCTGCATGGCCCTTCCGCTAAAAAAAAAAGTTGGTGCGTCACTAAGAGCCGTCCAGTGCTGCGGCGAGAGGCTCATCCGACTCGCGCTGGCCTCAGTCACATACGCATGGGGCTGTCCCCATTGCACTTCAACTCGCCTTCTCCACTTTTTTCGCCACGCGGATCTGTAGCCGTCAGTCACTTTGCGCTGGTCATTTCCTCTTTGTCAAAGGAACTTTGCGACCTTTCTAAATGAAAGCTGCGTAGCACTTTGGCAACAATGGCTAGCTGTTGCCGTGTTGCCGTGACTATTTTGGCGGGCAAAGCGATGACAAACAGCCTGGCTGTGAGGTCTGTGCTGACACTGGTGCCTGCTCCAGGGCCTACCGACGTGAATCTGACCGATTCTGCGGCAACTGGCTGGAACAATGCAGATGACGGAGAGAATGGTCTGTCGTGATGTGGATGTTAGCGGAGGTGCAAGGAATATCGCTGTTATCGCTGTGCTGCTGGTACATGTGCGATCTAGACGAGGACAACGCACTTTCGGTCTCTAGACAGACGTATTCGACTATGGTCGCCACGTTGGGAGTAGTGGAAGTGGTATAAGCCTCGGAACCAACGGCCGGTTCTTGAGCTGATATGGACTGGGTCGTAGTCACCACCACCATGATGGAACCTCCACCGGAGGAGGGAGATTAAGCAGCACTTGTGGCAGTATCTTCGGTGGTGGTGGAGAAGCGAGAGAAATAATAATTATAACAAAGAGTTCTCGGTAAAAGCATTATCAGATTTTTTTTTCGAGCTAAGTCGTCTTCCATCGTCATGTTGGTGGCGCTACTGATGACGAACAGTCTGGCTGTAAGGTGGGTGCTAGAGTGGGTGACTGTTCTGAGGTGAATCTGGTCAATTCTGCGGAAACTGGTTTGGACCACAAGACTGATCGGCGCTCGTGCTGCTGCCCAGGCGATACCGTCTGCAATGTCTACAACTGCGCCTGTAACTACGTGCCAAAGTGTGCAGATCAGTATAACAATCCGTGAGGCTCATGCAATTGGGCATTGCAATTAAAATTGTAATTCTTAAATGTCACTTTACATTTTAAGCTCACCTCGCTCTACTCCTAGATATTTCTTCAAGGTTTTATCGCTTCTTTAGCACGGCTGAATGTAGCAGGTGTAGCGTTGCTCGGCATTTATTCCGGCCCACGCTCGCTACTTCATTCCGCACTACGTAGCAGTATTTTTGCAGTGTACAAGGACAGCAAAATCCTCGAGGTACTGCTAGGTTTTCTCCTCCTCTGGATGAGTAGTCCTACACGGCCCAGTCCCACCGTGAGCTGATGGAGTTCGTAGACACACGCTGATGAATGAGGATAGCGACGACTTCTGTAGATCAGTGCTGTACTTGAGTATTGCAGAACTGGGTATTGCAATATCTAGCTTTCATGCAATTGCTCCTTTTGATTGCAATACGTTTCCGGCGGACAAAACCACTTTATTGTTTTCCCTTGCCTGCAGATGATGAAGGAGGCATACCGGATTGGATGCTGTTGATCCTGTTAGGGCTATTGCTACTTCTTCGTGATCTACGGCCAGTTCTTGATATATTAGAGGCTGGCAGAAGCTTTTCTCAAATTGCAGATAAATATTCAAGACCTATTTCTTCACATGTCACTCGTTTTCTCTCTTTCAACGCAGTTTGGGACGAGGTTTTCTTAGGTGTTGTTCATTGTGCCAGAGCTGTTGGCGGCAATGAGTAGATCCTGGCACGTCGTCGTGTTCATTTCATTGCTGCTAACCGTGACTACGGGGCAAAACGACGAGGTGCAGTCCGGCTGCGAGGTCTGTGCCAACACAAGCGACTGCTCCAGGGCTTACCGAGGCGAACCTGGACAATTCTGCGGCAACTGGCTGGATCGACAGAGCGACCGACGTCCGTGCTGCTGCCCAGAGAACGCTGTCTGCAAGGTTTCCAACTACGCTTGCAACTGCGGATACTCGCCGCAGTATGCAAATGATGGAGGGATTGGTCTGGTGTGGCTGTGGTGGCTGCTTGGCTCTCTCGCGCTGTTGCTTTGCTGCTGTGGCTGTTGCTTTATGGCGTCCAAGCGGCTCAGAGATCGTAGACTTGAGAATGAAATTCCGGTTGCTGCGCCCGTAGCGGAAGATGTATCCAGCCAGCCTTACGGGGCCCCATCCACGGCGTATGCCAGCGCCCCAGGATACGCTAGTGCTAGGCCTGAATATGGCAGATACTATGGCCAAAGCAGAGGTAGGGGTGGCATGAGTGCTGGTACCGGCGCGGCACTGGGCGGTACAGCGGGTCTTTTGGGTGGGTTTTTGCTCGGAGACGCGTTAGCTGATCATGGGGGCGATGGGGGCGGAGGTTTTGACGGTGGTGGTGATTTTGGCGGTGGAGACTTTGGTGGAGACTTTTAACTCAAAGTCAAAGTTTTGATTCCGTACGAACAAGTACACATTCGGATAAAGATTCAAAAACCAGTTACTCATTTGGCAAGTTCTCGCGCTAGTTTCTCCTCTTTCAATCTCTTTTTCTCTTCCCGCTTACGAGTATCCTGCAGTTCGAACTCTTGCCAGCCTAGTCTGTTCGGGAATTCAAGGAGGAGCTCCTCGTCTTCCGGGATACCATTGCCTACGTCTTCTTGGGACAGTAGCATACTCCTTCGATTGGCCTGCATGGGGCGTGAGAAGGGCACTCGTAGTCCACCTACGATCACACCTTTGTGCTCTCCATTGCGGTAGACGATGGGGATCTTGACACGAACTCTCGGTGGAGGGGGAGGGGCCACTTGGCGACTCGTCGACACTAACGGAGTGAATAACCACTTAAAAAAGTTGCGTTTCTTGTGCCTGAGCTTCTTCTTCTCGATGCCGTTTGACTCTTTGTGCTCGGCCTTGTTGGCAGCTGTATGCTGCTCAAAGTGCAGTTGACGACGCCGTTCACCCGTTTGAGCTTGCGACTTGAGCATACGTAGCCCCACCAATCGAGGGTTTTCATCAACGTCGTTGTTGGTGCTTGTAAGAATAGTCATATCTTAGTTATTGCTGCTACTGCTTCGTTCTCGATGCGAGGTAGATGAAGGAATGTCTCTCGTCAACAGAGACCGAGGACGCAATCGAGGCCAGCAAGCATTGATTCATAGTTGAAGTTTGCACGTTTCTGTTGCAGGCGATGATCTCTGCAAAATATCTTTTTATTTTTGTAGGAATAGTTGATATTATTTGATTGAAACCGCGTTGCACGTACAGAACAGCACAATGTACTGACAGGCTTTGCTTGTAACAGGGCATTGCGGGAACCCTATTAAGTTGGTACACAAGTGCATATGCAGTGACAGTTCAATTTCGTCAAATGGGCTGACCTTATAACTGTGGGCGGAGCTGATTTTATGCTAATAGAGTGGAAATTGTGCCCAAATAGCCTCTAAATTGATCAGAGTGGACATTTCGACGAGCGATTGTGGTCCACTATCATGCGATATGACGTAGAGTACATCACTGACCAACTCCATTTGCGTTAAACTTTCGAATCGTAGTGTCTTGCAATATAAAGACCGGGATATGCTGCTCGTAGACTTGCCGTACAAATTAGCTGGAAACTGCAGACTGTTATAGGCAATGCATGTTAATCTTTATGATATCAGACGGGTACAAAATACTAGTCAATCGAGGCTACGCTTGCATGAACAAATATATCCTGGTTAATGTCTTCATTTATTGAGAGAGTAGAGGCCTATCGGCTGCAAAAGAGACTATTAAAGCTCCTGATCGCAAAGAGTTGCAATGCACCCGCATGAATCAAGTTGGGACAGCGGTGCGATCAAAAACGTGCTAACGGGCAACCGATCACGGCAGCGGCACGATCCTCGCCTGAGTTGGCATAATGCTGGCGTGCAGCAAAGACTACCTGAAAATAGAGCAGACACTTCCCCATGTACCAATGCTGACTAACGATATGAGTAAAGCTGCACTGCAACTTGGCTGATCGATTTTGGTTGAAGCTCATCACGAAACGATGTGATCGACTTTCGCAGGGTCGTTACTGCACGACTAACATGAACAACATTGTATTGTCACTTGTCAGTGAAAGAGAGAAGAAGATCTCTATTTAACAATGCTGGTTATTAGCTGCCTGGTATAATAAATTTGTCAGTGATCTGTAATTAGAGGGCAGGTCTTATAGCTTGATCTACTTTTTACGTTCACTGAATCTAAATACCATATAAAATCCAGAGAATACCATAAAAATCTACCCTCTTACCGCACAAACGTTAGGATAGCAGACTTCGACCAATTTAGGTAAACTGTTCAAGGTAAATGGTTGCCAAGTGCAAGTTGATAATGGTAGTTGATTTCAATTGCAAAGTCAGAATTTGCTGCAGAATTGCTATTGTTAAGATTGAGAATTTCAAAACGTCGTGGTTGATCTCTGCAGCAAATGTCATTGTGCGCGTTTAGATGCAACTAGTCCTCAATGCCGGCAATGAAAATGAAAAAAAAAACAGTCTGCAAATTATCTTATACCGAGACCGACCGGAACCTAATCCATGCACGCACTCCAGAGGTCGCCTCGTCCCCAATAAACTACGCCTCACGCACCACCTCCTCAGCTCCATCTCTCAATGCTCCAGATCCTCATTCCTTTGTTTCCTCCCATTTGCTTCCTGCGTCTATATCAACGGATCAAGTCCACACGAGCAGCTAAGTCGTACAGACCAGCTTTGCCGACTCGATCCGCCCTGTGTTCTCTCCTCAATTCAACGCATCGCATCTCACTTGCCGACAGGCTGCTCAACCTCGGCAGACCCAATTCTCGTAAAAATGGGTAAAACGAGGATCAAAATAGTGCCCAAACAATATTTGGCAGTCGAGTTGCTCGCTGCGTTGCATTTTCGGTACCCGTCCGGTGGAACATCGCCTTAAGTAAAGCTCAGCAGTTCTCGCAGCAACTGCTCGTCCTCCTTTTTCACGAAACGGCCCTTCACTCGCAGTCGCGAGTCGGCAAAATTCTTGCGCACATCGTATTTCACCTCTTTTCGCCATACGCGCTTCTGTCTCTTGTCGAGGAATTTCTCAATGCGCTTCCGTCTAGAGTCGGGGGAGTAGGCGCCTACGAAGTTCTGTTTCTGGCCATCCTTGCCCTTATCAACTCCACCAAACGGCCGGGCAGCGCCAGCCCCTGCAGCGCCGGGGATACCGATGGGTCGAGACGTTGACAAACTCGATGCAGCGGCTGAGGCAGCAGAGCTGGCTGTGCTAGTGGTTCCAGTACTAGTTTTGCTACCGCTATCATTTTTGCCTTCACTTTTGATTCCTGGCTCAGTTTTCACCTGATTTTCCAAAAAATCTTCGGCAAAACTGAAACCCGCGGGTGGCGTGATACCCAAACCCATGGATGGCAACGAATTGGGCAAAGATGCACCGAGCGAAGAGCTATAAAATTCCCCGTCTAGAATATCCCGAGCCGATACATCCGCAAAGGAAGAGTCGAAACCGAGTTCGTCCCACTCGTCCAGAGACTGATTCCGTCCACCCGATTGAAACTGCAAAAAAAAAATAAAAAAATTAGGCAACTGCAAATAATTGCAAATTTTTCATGAAAAACCAACCTCATCTTTCGGTGTATCGCCCAGAGACCCAACGTTGAGGAAACCTAAGTCCAAATCGTCCAGCAGATCAATAGACGACGACTTTCGATTCAGCGCTCCACTGTCTAACATGGCTTCAAGTGTGGTCGGGTCGCCGGCGTCGAATTTTTCCAGTGCTTTTTGCAATGCTTCATCTCCACTGATAATTAGATCCTGGCAAAAAAAAAAAATCGTGCAAAAAAAATTTAGACACAAACTTGCAACATGCGCATTTAGTGTCTAAACGCACCTTCAGCACACCCTTCTGGTATCTGTCAATGTATCCGCGCTCTTCCAAGTCCGAGGCGCTGAGAAGCCGACTGGAAATGCTGCCACTGCGCCCTCTTTTGGTCATGGGCATTGTCAAACTGCCGGGCGAAAAAGCTGGCGGCGTGTGCGAAATCATGCCCAGGAAATCGTCGGCGCCCCAGCCAATCGAGTCTTTGCGCGGGATGCTGCCATTGCTACCGGGGATCGACACGGAGCCGGAGAGAGCGGAGGGATCCTCCTTCTCCTTCTTGATTGCCACTGGCAAAGTCGGTGGCAAATTCGGTTTGGAAAAGCTCATTGTCTAAAGCCAAGAGCGACAGAAAGTGGCCAAAGCGCAAGGTGAGCTGGCTGTGACGTTCATTGTGGTGGAAATATACGTGAGTGTTGGTCGCCGGCAACTTACGTGTGTTGAGAATGTGCCCTTGCTTGTCGCCGGTGTCTAAAGCGACAGGGGAGCTTTTCGCCAATGAAGAATTCCTGCTGTAGGACGAAGCATGCAGCACAGCGGTCAGTCACTTGCAATGGGGATACGAGGATAGCAGCTTGGTACTGCAGCTCACCTTGGTAGCACTGGCAATAAGGCGCTCTCGGCAAAGCGGCGCCGACTCCGTTCTTCTGGCCAAAATTCAGTTTCGCTCCAACACCGTCAACCCAATTGGGCCCCCCCTACCCGTCAGACTCTATGTTTCACCTGCTGAACTTGATGTTTCATCCAGCAACGGCTGTTCTTGTTACGAGATGCAGAGATTGGCCAGGGCATGGGCAAAACTTTCCTCTTCAATTGCAACACTTGCCGATTTGCCATTGTAGAGACGGCGGCGACTGTAACGTGGGTGAAAAGGCAAATGTTGCTTTTGGCAAGTGGCAAAAACGCCTTTCAGTGTATTTGCAGCAATTTTGACAAAATGAAGCGAGCGCAACAGCTGGCCCTATACCAACCCAGCAAATTTGCGCCTCTCCACCATCTTCACACTGGATCATGGGCGCGAGAATGGCATCACGCCGCGCAGATGGAGATTCGAGATGCCGTTTGAAACTCCGCGACTATCCGGACGCCTTGAGACGCGCTCACCAGTGCCAGCATAGTAATGCGCTCTCCATCTCATCATGGTTGTTTGTTGCCGAGGAGCTCATGACCGGCATGTATTTAATGCTTCTTCACCTTTGGGTCTGGATGTGACATGGACATTATCAGGGGAATTGCCAGCCAGTCATTCTCGCCATCTGGCAATTTGGACGACTGATGTCACTCAGACAGGACAAAACCCGAAATGGCTGCACAAAGTTGCAACTCAAGTTGGCAAATTATCAATTTCCTTAATTTCGGTTTTCAAAGTGGCAACTACGTTTAACCCTCCACGGCCTTCATGACATACACTCCGACCAAAAATCCGTTTGAAGAGAGTCCGGCAATGAGCTCGCGCCGGATAATCCCGACGTCCTCGCCCGTATCCATCCACGGTCGATGCACTCGCTGGCCGCAGAGCGCCACCGAAGTGGCCAACTTGTGTTTCAGCGGCTGGTAGAACGAGTCGCACAGGTCCTGACACTCTAACGCCAGCGCGTTGAAAATGTCGTCGTTTTTCCTCTCAAGACCGCTGGCCATGCCTTCGAATGGGACCACGGGGAACTTGTCGTGCTCGCAAATGTGTGCCAGGATGTCGTCCGCTGTGCTTTCGGCTGCGTTCGGATCCGGATACGAGTCTTCCAGAAACAAATCGGCCTTCAGCAAACTGCGCCGCTCATGCATCTCATCGTCGTCAAGCCCTTCTGCACGCCACTCCACTTGCTTGCTCTTCAGCACTCGCGAGAACTCGTCCATCAATGTCTTGGCTTCTTTCCGATATTCCCGAACAGCCTTTTTTGCCGCATCGCAAAAGTTGCATTTGCTTTTGGTTTCACTTTTTGCCACGGCAATATTTTCCCAGTGCATCCCTAACTCGGATACGTGAACGTATGCCGTATTCGGTGCCGTAAAATCGTCTCCGAGACGATCCCACATGGAATTTAAGGCGTTTCGAGCATCTTCCATCGTCCACACTGTATTCGACTCCTTATCGGGTCTAGCGGCCAGTGGCACAATAACGGGTCGAGCACGGCAGAACTCTCCAAATGGAGTAGCCACATACGCGCGACTGCAAAACGGCTTGAGTCGTGTCTCCATCTTGCCGATAAGCGATAGCATCTGAGCTCCCTGTCCTCGGGAATAGTCCAAGGATTTATTGTCTTCCATTAAGCGACGGTTAAGTTCCTTCTTCCTGGCAACGTGGATGTGCTCCTGACATTCGGACCAGAAGATTGATTCCTCTGCAGTCGACTCTTGTTGCTTTTGCAGTGATAAATCCATCCAGTCGCCATTGCAACCATGCAGTAAATGCACCCCGACACTGCAATTGCTTAACGCCATAACCCCCACACTTTTATCAAATCGAAGCGTCCGACAAGTCCCCAGCAACTGAACCATATCTTTGACACCCAGGAACCACAGCGCGCCCGCCGTGAGCGCTGAGTAAAGCTGCTCCGTATACTCAGCACTAGTGGCGTCTCCAACGCTGGAGCTGCGCCGGCGCTTGGTTTCCGCACGAGTTCTTGCTCGCGTCATCTTCAGCACCGTAATTTTACAGTTTGGTTAGAATAGAAATAGGGAAGAAACGTTTCAATACGTAAACTACACCACGGAAATTATCAAAATGTAGCCATGCACATTCCTTTTACGCCGTCATGGGGACAATTCTGCGCCGATCCTCTTCAATGAGCAGATTCTGCAGCATTTGATGATCCCGTCGCACTTTTCCGCTGAGTGAGCTGAGGATATAGTCCCTTGTGTGCACGACGTCTTCGTTTGATGAGAAACTTTCCGCGCCTTCAGCATACAGTTGGTAGCAAGTGCGAGCCACAGACGCCTGTGCAGGGTCTGACTTGGAACGGGAGATGATGATCCAGCAGCGATCACGGAACTTCAGTCCCATGTGTGGTAGAGTCAAGATGTTGTGCTTGATCACCACCACGCGGTCGGATTCCTCAAACTTACGCATGAACTGGAAGCCGTCGATCTTCAACACACCCGACGGGTTATGCAGAGCGATGAGGAAGTTTTTCTCCAACGAATCTGGCTTACGTCCGCGAATCTAGAAAATTATCATATAAAAATTAGGTGACTGTAATATAAAAATATCTTCCCATGTGTATTTGTCCACGTACGAAGCTGTAAATTCTCTCGGGATCTTGACTTTTGACGTTCAGGTCTTTCCACACCACATCCGCTGCAACATGCAGCGGACTGGACACTGGCGTTGTGGTGATAATCTCGATGCAGTTGCCGTTTGTGTCGCTGCTGCGGTTCACCCTCGTGTTGCAGGATATCGTTTCTGGCAGGTCTGGAGGGAACACCGAGTCTGAGGTCAAATACAGCCGCTCCACACTCTTTTCCAGCTGCGAGATGATGGTCATCGTCTCGTCCGCCACTGAAGACTCCAGTGGCGTGTTTGCTTCATCCTCGAATAGGAAATCCTTGCCCTTCATAATAATAAAACCGAGTGAAAAAAAATAAAACCCGTTAGTAAAATAGAAAACTCCGGTCTGATCCGGTTGTCACCTACATAGAGCAGCGAGCGGCGCTGCACCAAGTGGCGAAAGGCCCCATTGACTTTGGTCTGATTAGCCCAAATCTCCTTGAGTTTCCTGTTGGTTCGTTCTGCCTTCTGTCGTTTATGGAATTCACCCACCGCCTTCTTGAACCACTCGCGACTGTCGTCGTCAGCGATCTGGGTTGTTGGGTTTTTCTCGTTCTCTGCTCGACGTCGCTGTCTCTGCTGGCGTCGCTGCAGCAGCAGCTTAACCTGTTCATCCAGCTCCAGCGCCTGCTCTCTCAGTGCGCGCAGCTCCGCTTTCTTGCGCTGCTGCAGCAATGTTGAGTAGCATTGTGTTTCACCCACCCGCTGTTGGGTTTTATTCGATTTCTGTGGCTTCCGAGGCACGACTGAGCTGGAAGTGCCGGGTTTCTTAGACGTGCACTTCTTGACACGCTTACCGTCGCTGTCGCACTCGTCAATAAAGGCCAGCGCCTCCGCCAGCATTGCATCCATGTCCTCCTCGCGTTCCAGGAAGCTCATCGTGATTAAGTGTGTTTTTTGGAATGCAATTGAGTAATGGAGCTACTGGGATTGGATGAAATTCTGTTCTAAATCGCTGATTGGTTTGAAACATGACCATGTATACAGTGCACGTATACACTTGGTTTTGTTTCTCAGGCAAATCAATGTTGCTTTTCCATGCAGGGTAAACTGTACTTTGATGGTTGGAAGTGCCATGGCAGGAGGTCCTTTACAACGTGGACGGATATGTTCGTGTATTGTGCAAGCAATACTTGTCTATACGTGTATTATATAGTTTATACCGTAGACTTGAAGCTGTGTCCAGCAATGCGAATCACAATGTAGTTAACTCGGAAATCACGCAGGTGAGGTGATCCACGGCTTACTGTGTACACTACTAAAGTAGATTAACTGTTAGTGTACTTTAGAAATAACGATTTCGACGTTAGCAGACAACCCAGCAAGAATTTTTGCTAGAATGTCCCCCATTTCTTACCAACACAAAAAATAATATCATGTGAATTTGTGAGAAGCTCGTAACACTTTCATTTTACTTTGCAGCCTCGTCCCAAGTAGCGCTGTGGAATTCGAATTTAAAAAATCTTATTTTTTAATAATCCGAGTTGCACAAAGCTAGTTGGGACGAGACAGTAAAGATTCGAATTCCACAGTGCTAGTTGGGACGAGGCAGCAAAGAAAAATGACCTTCGTGATGAGATGCTGTTTGGTGATGTTGCTGGTCATGCCAGTTCTTGCTTTGAGTCCCGGAGATATCGGCGATGTCACGACGCCACCTTCAGGCTGTCAGCTTTGTGCCAGTACTGGAGACTGTTCTCAAGCATTTCGCAATGGCCCAGGCCAGTTCTGTGGCACTTGGATGGATCGCTCCAGTCATGAACTCCCGTGTTGCTGTCCGCTTAACGCCGTCTGCAACGTATCGCCAGCTGACTACGTGTGTACTTGTGCATACGTTGGCGCGATGCCTCCGTATCACAGCGATAGCGACTTTATGAACAAAGTTCTGTGGCTGTGGTGGATCATCGGTGTTGTAGCGGTGGTCGCTGTCTGTGGAGCTTGCTGCTACTTCCTAGTGAAGCGAATGGTGGACCAGAGCGACGGAAGCTACTCATACGTATCACCAGAGGTGGTCGCTCCTCTTGTTTCACCTACCCGAGAAGCTCTCTATCGCAGCACAGGGCAAACATTTGCGAAGGAATCAGAGTCTGCAGCAGGAGCGGGTGAAAGAACAGCAATCGGGGCAGCTCCAGGGATATGGGGAGGTGTGCCACAGACCACTCATTTGGATCTTGACGTTGGTGGCGACGGCTTTGACGGAGGTCTGGGTAGCGTTGAGAAAGATCAAGAAGCTGACGAAGCTAAACAAGGCGAAAGTGACGCGGAAGATGGAGAGGAGATTGCTCTACTGACAGTGCAATCAAACGAGTAGGTTGTTCCAGTCTATAGCAACGAGAATCGATTAAGCAGTTTTTTTTAGGCCTATCGGGTTTATGAAACCATTATTTGCGGCGCTGTTGGCGTTCGAGAGCTGCAGTAACGAGTCGACTGAACTCGCTCTTGAAAACGTTGGGGGTGTCGAATGTAGTCGCAACAACACGCAAATGGCTCGGCAGACGAGATTTCGAAGCCAGTGGCATTGCCATATTATTGTTCCCCGTCGAGTGCTCGAATACGAGGCACTGAGAACTGTCCAAGCCAGCGTTCTGAATAAACCACTCGTACCTTGCACACAAACACTAGTATAGTGACTCAAACATCACTCATGCACACGATTAATACGAACCAGAGCATGGCCTCGCTCTCGTGGACATGAGACTCCGGGTTGTAGACAAGAATAACACCGTCTGTCTCCTTCATCACTGCAGGCCAGCACGCCTCATAGCTGAAAGGGGATCAACGAATTAGCCGAGTATGCTATTATTTCTATGCCTCAGCTTACTTCTGGTCTCCTGACACGTCCCAGAGCTCCACATTCGTTTTGCCCTTCTCGAGCTCGAGGATACGGACACCAACAGTCGGTTGATAGCGCTCTTGGCTACCCAGGCGGTCCGTATGTTCGGCGAGAAAATTGGCGATCTAGACACAGATACAACATGAGCGAGAAGTGTAGACGCCAATTGCAATTGTCAAACAAGCGTACTGTGGACTTGCCGGCTTCCTTGGGCCCGACGATGAGAATCTTGAGCGGCGCCATCCGACGCGACGGTTTGGATGGGATTGATAACTTCTAAATTTTGTTGTTAGGAGACAATGACGCACTCGCAGTATCCAAAGAGAGAATACGCACTGAGGGGCGCAGCTGAAAAATGTATTCTCTAAATAAAAAATCAGGCGATGTAATTCCTCCGGACTCCTCAGTCTCGATTTTTTACAGTCCGATGGCATCCGGCTTCCCGTATTATTGACCTATGAGACCGCAAACGAAGTGATCGAGGCGAATTGAGGCCTAAAACTCTTCTGAAATTTTCGCACGTATACAGCTTAAAGAAGTTCAATTAGGCTGCATTTTACAAGTTAGCAATACCTCAACCGATAAAATGACAGCCATTCTGGAGGTGACCAAAAAAAGGAGATAGTTTTTGGATGACGACAACATCGCGGGTACTACATATCTCGGAGCAAACAACGGCTCAAAACAAGCATAAGGCGCCACTCTTTTGATCGGAGCGCTGAAACGTACTTCGTTTGTACCGGTAAGCATCGTTTTGCTTGTGTGTGTACCAATCACCAACAGGTTTTGCAGCGTAAACGTGCAAAATAATAATCAACTATTCGTCGCAGCATTCCACTGTGAGCGTCTGGGAGACAACGAGGGAGCCATTGATCCTTGGCACCAGTGTAATTCCTACTTCGCAATCCGCTGGAGCGTTTCCCAGGACCCACGATCTATGAATGATTTCTACCGTGTTATGCTAGTGTTTGCAGCATTTTTCTTTCTCAATGTCGACGCTGCTTCACTGGTTGCAGACTCTAACTTGGCAAATCTTAACACCGCAAACTTCACAGGCCCAGTGGCTGAGACCAGATCAATCGGCACTTGAGAGTAGTGAACGACGACGAGAGAGTCTACAGTAACAGTTTCGGCTTCGAGAGTATTAAGAAACTGATAAATCTCGTGACTAAAGGAAGCATTAGTAAAATTCCTACCAAGCTACAGACTCGGATTTGGCTCTACGGAGGTAAGTCTCCAGGACAAGTGTTTGACTTAACAAGGTTAGGCGTGAGGGGTTAAAGATGATTGAAGATACGATTTTCGGCCACCCACAGTTCTACATTTGGGCGAAGTACGTGGAAGATTTCAACAAAAAGAACCCTACGAAGAAGGAATTGATGATCCCGTCCTTGTTGACCCTTTACGATGACGAAGGTTTGTCAAGAGTCCTCGAGATGGCGAAGAAGGTGTCAGCCACTGAGGCGCTGGCCACGAAACTTAGGACGGAGCAAATTCAGAGGTGAATGAACGACGGTAAAACCCCGGGCTATGTCTTTAAGATGTTCCTGATCGACGCCAAAGTGGATGACCTATTAACGAACCCGCAGTTTATCGCGTGGACCAAGTACGCGAATGAATTTTATGAGAAGAATCATGCAAAGATAGCCTCGATGGTCCCTGCAATAGCAGCTCTCTATGGCGATGATGCTGTTTTTGGTATGCTTGACGCGGTGAAGAAGGTCCAATCAACAGAGAAAATCGCCTCCAAATTGCAAGCTGAACAGATTCAGCGGCTGCTGAGCAGCAATCAATCTCCCTCGCATGTCTTCAAGGTGTTCAATTTTGACAATACAGGATATGAAGTTCTCAGCTCTCCGCTGTTCAAAACTTGGTTCAACTACCTCAAGAACTTCAACAACAAGAACCCCGACAAGAAAGAGAGCTTGCTGAATTTATTATATAGATATTACCAAGGTCATGGTGTGGCCAGAATCCTCGAGGAAGCGATGAAGAACCCGAGTACTGTAAAACTGGCAATGCAGTTGCAGGACGAACAGTACAGACGTAATTTGCTCAGCAAAAACTCTCCCGAGAACACTTTCTATGCGTTTATATTGGCAAAACCGGGAGCTACTGACGGTCTTCACTTTAAAACACTTCGCGATGGCACTATATATCTGCCGCGTCTTAGCAAGGCGTCGGATGGTCTTCTGTCAAGTTCAGATTTCAAGCTTTGGGCTAAGTATCTAGAGGACTTCAACGCAATGTACCCCGACAGACAAACGAGCATGTCGTTCTTTGATAAAACTAATTTAAAATGGAGCGCTTCAAGTGCAACTGTTCGCTCGACACTCCGACAGACCTCTGTCAAACAATTGTATTTTCGATGCTCGATAGTATTAAAATTCCAGCAATCGCATTTAGCGGACCGACTTGTGGCCGTAAGACAGCATTTAGAGGCAATATTAGTTATTAATTATGTTGCGAATCACCAAATGTAGTTAGTTTGCACACTTCCATCCGTCATCATGATCCCAACCGCGCTAGTACAGTGAACGACGGCGCTGGAGGGAAGAAGGAGATGGAGCTGGAACATGAGATGAGAGAAACGCAGTGGCGTGCGTCTGATGAGAAGACCAAGACTGCGCTGGAGAACAAGATTCCCGTTGTGATCGAAGACGCTGCTACTATCCTGGATCGCCGCAGTTTCACGAGGTCTTTAAAATTAAACTTTGAAGTGGTGTGGTAAAAGTGCGTCTCTGATTGAAAATATTCTTCAGATCGAGTCCCCGATTCGAATTCTCACCTTTATTTTTACCGCATTAAATCATAAATGCTGCAGTCGATGATTTTACGGTTATCGAAATTTGTCATGACCTCCGTTTCTACTGCAGCCCCCGGCCTAAAGTGATGCATCTAGTAAGCCCCAATAGCTTGTTTCGTATCGTTATTACTTCCTTTCACGGCGAGAACGACCAGGATGGAGTAGAAAAGCAGTGTAAATATTGGGAGCTCGAGTCTTATTTCTTTTACATGCTGTATTTCACTGGAGTTAAAAAAAATCCTATTCAGTAGTTTTTTTTTCCTAAAAGAGCACCGCTGTTTGTGAAATGTACGAGGTGCTCCTCGTAAACTGTGACGATTACGAGATCAAGTTATGTAAACAACCGAAGTGTTACTACTACCGGTATTCTCCCGTGTATCCATGATTGCGATTATGTAAAAAATTAGCATGCCATAATTCAAGACAACAACTTCGAGAGAATTAAACACCAAATATTATTTGATCTTAACAGATTATCATCGCGTAATCACCACTTTTATACTATATTCGATGGTTAGTTTAGTACTGTGGCCCGTAAAAACGCGGTGATGACAGTGATACTGACAAACACCAAATACACAAGTGTCTTTCTCTTGATATATGGTAACGGATCCCAATTTCAACTTTTTCGCTTGTTGATGAATAGTGCGAGCTCATGAAGATATTCCTTCTAGCCCATCAGTGAACCGAGTAAATTTTCGCCAACAGATGACACTAATTCTACAAAGTTAACAAACCATTGCAAATAATGCTGGTTGCTATTGTATTACAAGACTCCAACGGCAGATAGTTTGACAGAAAATTTTGCGTAAAATTAACAACAAAGTTTATGGAGTCACTCCTCAAGAACAACCTTAGGATTTGGCAAACAGTCGTTTCGCAGAAGCTTCGCCAGAAAGCGGACAATCTCGCGTTCGTCCTCCTCGTTTACCTCCTGCGTCATTTTCCAAAATGCTTGGACTGTCGGATCTTTCTTGCGCGACGTAAGGTACTGCACTGGAACTTGTCGAGTGCACGTCTCCGTCATAGCGCCGATGTGGGAGTCGTCGCAATACGGTCGAATACACACCCACGCGGTCTCGTCAATATCCATCCCACTGAAGATTCCCTCGCCTTCCCAGAAGACCTTCCATATCATCACGACGCGATCTTCATGGCCAAATCGACGAGCTACGACGCGTTTCAAGATCGATACGCTACAGTCTTTACTGAGCATCTTCTTGACGCGAAATTTGACTGCAACAGTGTTGTCTGAGTCCGGTATATCTCGAAAAACCTCGCGGTCGATATGTCGATAGGGCAGATCCGCGATCTTCCACAAACTGCTGCATGTGTCCTCGAAGCTGAAAGGCTGCAGGAACTTGTTAACAAGTTGAACGTACTCGACTCCACCGTCCGGGTTGTGTCGATGGAGTGAGCTGATAGTGTTTACAGGTAGAGAGTCTATGCCACATTCGTTGAGTACTTTGTCGACCCGACCGTGACTATCGTAAAGGTCTTGAAGGTACGCTTCGTAAAGTGCTGTGTCGGATGACTTGAGACGGAGCCACTTCCGATCATCAACCTTGTCGTACACAACGCTTCGAGGAATGGTATAACCACATGATGGTAAAGTCAAAAACTCGCGTACTACGCCACCCATGCTTTCGATGTACTTTGCCTGAGCATTCACGATGGCAGCTAGCCGCTTTTTCTCCGCCTCCACGTGATGTCGTTGTTCGCGTTGGTGCAGCGCCACTCGCTTCCAGAACGACTTAGCAAGTACCAAATCCGTCCGCGCTGTCGTCTTCGCTCCTTTCCTCGTTTCGGTGATTACTTGTACCTGCGTCGACAGTTCACGTTCCTGCCGGCGCAGTTCCTCACGTGCTTGTTTCTGACGCTGGCGGTATCGTTGACGTCGACGGCTTAGTTCAGCAGCGTCAATTCTTCGTTTGTATCTCTTGGTTGGGGCTTCCTCCTCCACACCGCTACTGCTCTCAGAGTCGCTTTCGTTTACCGAAGTTGGGGGTGAATCTGCTCCCCAACTAGACGGAGATCCGTGCTGTTGAAGGTCATCGATCTGTTGAGACTTGCGCGGTGTAAGGCCTCGAACAATCGGCTCCGTATCCAAGAAGGCGGTTAGTTGGTCGAGGAACTCCAGATCTGTTGCCATGATGGTAAGTTGGTGAATGGCCAGTATACGGCAGTTAATGCCGTTTTCGTATCTTACCCCAGAATAGTTGTCTTTCACGCCATTCCTGATGACAACCAACAGTTGGGAATCGTAAGATAACTACTGTGTTCTGTAAGTTTACACGTGTGTCTGTGATCATCAGCGAATCTGCTTTGCTTCTTTCTCGTACAATATTACATGGAATAGAGATCCGGGACGTTGGCTATCCATCCGTAGCGTGACTAAACGTTACTGATCTGTTTCACACCAGCGAATTAAAGTATTGAATCTCTGTACAGAGTTATTTCTGAGTGAGTGATGGTCATCCTGATAAAGTCTGGTATCAATAAAGGTTACTGTTCATTTTTTTTTTTACCTAGTGAGTAGTTTTCAATGTCAAGCCCATGTGTAAGTAGGTTCTAATTTGCCACTAAACATGCACGACCCCCCCCCCCCCCCCACGCACACTCACACACAATCATACTTTATTTAATAGAAATGTTCAGTAGTTAACTCCATTTCTGCTCTTCCTCTTTGACAAGACCGAGTGCTGCTGACTAAATATTTATACGCGGGGAAGAGATTAGTTTAACGTGATTAATAGTTTCATCTGAGCGAAGAGATAGCATGTTACAGCATAGTGGAAATCCTCCACACTCAATTTAGAACACGTAACGTGGCTATTCAAAAATGACCGATTGTGAGATTCTTGCATTTTAGTGAGGCGGTCCATTCTTCTTACAACCGGGCTCAGCCACCTTCTTGTGGCCCCACCTACCACTGAATCTCGGTCACGGGTATGTGGGGGTCCACGTTGAAGAACTTGCCAGTGCTCTTACGGTTCAACTTGGCGATAACGTTTGTCATTGCCGCCACACTGTCCGCTGGCTTCGTCGCCCCTTTGCCTTCGGACATGTCCGTGTCCACGTATCCAGGGTGCACTGACACGACCACGATGCCGTTAGCCTGCAAGTCAAATGCAAGCGATCGAGTTATCATGTTCAGCGCAGTCTTGGACACCGAGTAGCCGTAGCCAGCGTGCTTAAAGAAGGCTGCAGTGTCGCTGGTGTAGCTGCCGATGCTGCCGATAAATGATGAGATTTGCACGACGTAGGCACCACCGTTCGCCTCTACCGCGAGCTGTAAGTTGGGTAGCAGGGCGCGCGTGACGAGGAAAGGTCCGACTGCATTCACCTCGAACTGACTCATGAGGGCATCCTTGGTGCCAGTCTCCAGGAGACTAGGCTTGTAGATACCTGCGTTGTTGATGAGAAGATCGATGGGCTGTCCCTCAAGCTGGTGAGATGCTTCGAGGATGGAAGCCTCGTCGCTCGTATCCATAGTGACCATCTTGAACGGGGCAAGCGCTTTAAGCTGTCCATAGAGCAGAAGTGAATACCATAATCAGCAACAAGTGCCTGCATGTACACTGTAATGTCCTACCTTTTCCATATTGCTGTTGGCGCGAGCTGTGCCGATGACGTTCCAACCAGCGTTGGTGTAGTACTCAGCAAAGGCGAGTCCGATGCCGCGCGTACTGCCGGTGATGAGAACAGTTTTCTTCACGGAAGCCATGGTTTAAGAGCGTCTAGTGGGTTCCTCGAGGTTTGTGAAGATTGAGGAGTTTTGAAAAGTGGGGACACTGAACTGCTAACGCAAACTCTGCCCTTGGGACGTAAATCTAAACCTCGTTCCATCTATGCGTGGTGGCATCAACACATTTCAAAGAGGAAACAGTAGAGATGATGTACAATAAGTTGTAATGTCACGGCACGCCGTTTATATAGAATGTCTTGACGTTTACGTGTACAAGAGTTGAGCAGGAAAATGCAAAAGAGTTCTGTATACACCACATATTATGCAAAAATGATCATATTTATGAAGATTACTGCCACAAATACTCGTAAACAATGATGTCTATGACAGGGGATTTATGAGATGCTGCTGCAGCAGACATTTGTGTTTTTGAAGTTGCGAGAAGGTTCCCGCAGTTGGAGATTGGTCGCTAAGAGTATAATAACCTCTAGTCGGGAGATCGTTTAGCTGATCTCTGGTCTATTGGCTGGCTCACTCTGGTTTTTTTTTTCTCCAATATGCCTCCCCTGTAAAAAGCTTTAACCCCGCCACGCCACTCCCTAAGGGAGTCCCTTGTAGCGATGGCCGCTGCTAATCAAGTCTTCTCATGGTGCCTGGTTGTGGCACGATTCAAAAGCAACTACAAAAAAATTACATTGTAAAACATGTATCAGGTCTGCAGTATTACTTGCTGGAATCTTAAGCGCATATTTGACCTTCATTCAAGAACAGAGATTATCATGATTCATTATGAGTTCTTAGTAAAATAGTTAAAGGGTTAAGCTAGTAGGGAAGGTACTGCATCGACAAATATGACATACACACATCAACAAAATATCGTAGTTGAAGTGGGTGGGGTTCATGCAGAGTAGAAGACAAAAGGCCTTGAAGATAATATTGAAGCGAAAATACAAGAGATCGAGGAGAACGAACGCATAGATGAATCTTCTGTATCTTCTGGGAGCCCCATGTCGGAGGGTCTTGCGCCGACTTTTTTGTTTTGGCTACGCTCTCACCTTGTCCATAGTAAAATCAAACCAGTTATCCGTTCTGTAGACATCGTTTGCTTTTTAAAAACAATGCAGAATTGTACGTCGAAACTTTATAATAGTATTTAGACATCTGTGATTGAGTATCGGAGTTTGCATGTATCTCACTTGCAAAGTCGTTCTTTAATTACTACTGCTCTCCATCTGTGCATTGATGGCGATTGTTTATTCAAATACTATAGTCGCTCCTTGATGCTCCCTGCGTAATGACGATTGTTGGAAGTAAAAGATCGCCTTCAACGTCATAATTACCGTCATCATGATCGGGTGACGGTTGTTGTGCCGCAATCGCCTTGGATTAACGTCCATTTTATTAAGAGCTTTGACCAAGTTAGTGTTGAAGTTCGTGGGAAGTCGAGATTTATGATAAACTTCGAGCTCATTATCTCTTTTTCTTCATTCAGAAACGAAAGACAACAATGAAGAGTACGCCCCAAGTTCTGGCAGCATTGGCGATTGTGGTAGTCGGTACTGCCGCTTTACAAGAAGGCATCATAATCGGGAAAACGTTTGGCGGACCCCACGGTGACGAGTACTCGGACTACCACCTCGTTACGGCAGACCAAATGGTGCACTGCCTCACAATCCGCTTTGCTGATCGCGTGGATGCCGTCAGTCTCAATGTGACGGATCCGGCAGGTCAAAAAACCACCTTTTACCACGGCGGAGAGGATGGTGACCCAAAAACGCATTGTCTTGCTGATAATGAACACTTCACCGGGTATCAGGCGCACTGGGGTAAGTACTATCGCAAAACGCGTCTCATGTATGTCGAGTTTACCACCGATAAGGGAGAAACCATCTCTGGCGGAACTCCAACGGACGATAGCGGGAGCAAGGGCAAGGACACCGCTCCATCGGGTTACCAGTTGGGTGGCTTCGTGGGCTACAGCGGGAACGAACTTGATTCGATGGGAGCCATTTGGACACGCATCAAGCCGGTGGTGTAGTCTTCACGTGTCGACAGCGATTGGAGCGTTGGCTGCAGGGCGCCCAGTAGGATTGTGCTGGGTTTTTGTCGTGGCAACTACTAGATAGTTTTTCGATTAAAGCAGAAAAAAAAATGCCAAAACCATTCACGAAAGTCAACTTTAGTTTTGAAATCTCAAGGTAATGAGCTACCATCAGCCAATGAATTCAACGTATGGCGATCAAGCCACGAAAGTAGTATCTTAATTAGCGTCAACGGCGGCGCTATTACGAACAGCGCGGATTCCACCCTGGATATCGGATGCTTCGACTATGACCCAATCTAAGGAATATTAGTTTTTAAAACCTAAAAAGGTAGAGTATAAAGAGAGGTTGGTGGTATTATAGTAGTGGCTCGGGCTGGCGGGTTTTGCTCGATTCCGATGAACCCTAGTGTGAGCACTTTTGCTATCAAGACGCTGTCACTGCTCTATGACTTATACAGGTCCGAAAAAAAAAGGATTGACGATGTATGTCCTTAATAGGTGGAAGATATCTACGTAGTCGGAACGAGGGTATCCTCATTCTCTTGCTTCCATCAAACTATCCATAAAGCCTCCTTCCTTTGCTAGCTCATAAAACACCCCTGCCCCATTCTTCACCAACTGTCGCGGAGTATCGAGCTCCGCCACTCGACCATCATTCAGCGCCATAATACGATCCGAGTCTAACACCGTGGCCAGTCGATGCGCGATCGTCAGCACCGTCGTGTCCTTAAATTCATGCTTGATCATCCGCTGCAACTTCTTCTCCGTCTCCGGATCGATGGACGCCGTCGCCTCATCCATCACCACGATACGACTACGAGTCAACAGCGCACGTGCCATACACAATAGTTGACGCTCGCCAACGCTAAAGTTCTCACCGTTCTCGCTCAGCTCGTACGTCAACTGGCCCTCTAGAGCAGAAACCTTCGCCTTCATGTCCACTTTCTCGAGTGCGATCCAGATATTGGCATCCGTGAAGTCATCGAACGGGTCCATGTAGCCTCGAAGCGATCCCTTAAACAGTACAGGCACTTGTGGGATGATAGACAGTCTGGAGCGTAGAGTGCGCAGTGGCATGGTGGCAATGTCAACGCCGTCGATCAGGATACGGCCTGACACCAGTTCGTTAATACGGAAGAGTGCCATAATGAGGCTTGACTTGCCTGCCCCAGTTCGTCCTACGATGCCGATCTTCTCGTTATCTCGGATAGTGAACGAGACGCCCTTGAGCACTGGCTTGCTGTCTTGCTTGTAGCTGAACACGACGCCGTGGAACGAAATAGCACCAGTGCTGGGCCAGGTGTGGCTTGGTTCGATTGCTAGGACATGTTGACCACCCTCTGGAGGAATAATAGTGTAGGCCATAACCCGTTCGGAACTGATAAGATCAAGCTCCAGACTCGACCAGCAATGCACGAGAGTGACAAGACCACTGTCAATACTGAGAGCATACGTGAACGCCAGTCCAACCATGCCCGGTGTTAGAAAATCGCGCATGAGGATCAGCCCAGACAACACCAGCAAGATCACTCCCATGCCGATCAACTCCATCCGGACTTGGAACCACTGCTGCACGACCAAGTCTGCGACCCAGCACTTATTCTCCACGTCGTTGAGCACCAAATTTTGACTGATCATGCGGTCAGCAGCTTCACTACCAAACGCGCGGATGACTGCAATACCCTCCTCCGACTGGGTCACGTGGCTCAATACTGGAGACGACGACACTTTCCATAAACGTGAAATCTCTCGAGATGGCGCGAGGTAAAAGTTGGCGATCTTCACGTACATCCACACCAAGGGGATAACTAACACACCCAAAGTGTTGACAGTGTACACAGCGACTGCTAGCTGACTCACTGTGAAGACAGACATGGCGATGAAGCTTCCGAACGCGAATGGAATCGAGAAATCCAAAGCCGACATGTCGTCACCATAGCGGTTCACTATACGCCCGATCGGGTTGGCATCGAAGAATCGAAGTGGGGCCTTCAGCAGCGACGCAGTCATGTTGTCGAACAGTTGTCGAGATGCTCGCAGACCCGCGATTACGACTGTAGAGCTGCGAATCAACACCATAAAGGCCGTTCCACTACCAAACCACGCATATACCTTCACATTGTACACAGTGTCTTGGGCTTTATTTGGACTGGTCTTTTGATCCGTCCAATGAGTCAACCACAGATCACCGGAAATCTGACACGCTTGCCACAGCAGCTGCACCGTCAGCAGGAATACGCACATTTTCATGCCACCCAATGCATCTAAGTAATGCAAGAAGGTCTCCTTGGATACACGACCTTCGTCACGCTCTTCGTCGTCAACAAGTCGACCAGCGTCAACGTCCACCTTCGCATTGCCCCTCTCTTGGTTAATGTCATTCATCACAGAGTCAAGAGATTCCGGGTGTCTGTACGACCGTCGAACGTCAGTGTGGCGAGTGGCCTTGAGTTGACCGTTTTCCACCAACACCCTCACGTTCGCAGCCTTGCTCTCAATGATATCCGAACTGTGTGTCACCAACACCACCGTCTTGTCCGCCAACAGGTTGCAAATGCACTCAGTAAAGATTTGACTTTGCACGATTGCGTCCACCGCAGCTAGAGGAGAGTCAAGCAGCAAGACGTCGGCATCCGAGTAACATGCGCGAGCCAGACAAACACGCGCTTTCTGGCCTCCGGACAGGTTGATTCCTCTCTGTCCGATCTCTGTCAAGTCACCCGCCGGGAGCTGCTTTAGATCAACTAGTAACCCACATGCAGCTACGACTTGAGCATACTTCTTCTTATTGTATCGAAGACCAAAGAGGATATTGTCACGGATAGTCATATTCTGAATCCATGTCTCCTGCGAATAATAGGCCACGCGACCTCGAACAAACACAGAGCCCTCCATTTTGTGCATTTCTCCAAGCAGAGCAGTACACAGTGAAGATTTGCCGCTGGCCACGGGGCCGTGAACGATCACCAGATCACCCTTCTGCACTCTGAGATTAACCTGACTCAATAGAGGCGTGTCCTCAGTCCATCCGAACGTGCCGTCTTCAATCGCTATAGCGACATTAATTGGTTGTGTTGAGCCATCTCGAGTGACGTTATCCGGCTTGACTTCATCCAGTGATAGATATTCTGAAAATCTGTTCATGGAGACCTTGGCTTGGATTATCGTCTGGATTACGGAGGGTAGTTCTCGTAAAGGGTCTCGAAGCGTATTGAAAAGGGCAATAGCTGTAAAAACTTTCGCCGCCGTCAGCTGCTTGCCCATGATAACGGTGTAAACAGTGAACGACACAGTCGAAACAGCGACTGGCGCAGCCCAAAGGATAAAAATCTCGAGTGCGCCGAGATACATGTATCGCTTGACCGCTGACAATTCAGTGGATCGATCTTTGTGGATTCTGGTGGCAAACGCGTCTTCCCATGCATTAAGTTTGACGATCTGGATGGCTTTAAAAACCTCTTTGACAGTCTTCATGCGGCGATCTGTGAACGTCATGATGTCGTCAAAGGCGTTTCCGGAGAATTTGGCAACCCAAAAACTGATTAAAAGAGAAGTCCCAATAACCGCAAGTCCCGCAAAAGCAGCAAGACCGATGACATCGTGAAGCATATACACGACAGCCACAATCTTCATCGGGATAAGCCACAAACTGCTGATCTGGAAAGCTGCATACTGTAGATCTTCTACGTCAGAGGAGAAGAGATTTGAGAGATCCACTTCTGTTGAGTCCGTCTTGCTCTCGATGCTGCGTCGTATGGCCTTGCGGAATAGTAACGCCTTAAGAGCCGATGTGAGTCGAAGTCCAATTAACTCAGCGTTGAAGCCCGCTCGAGCAGAGATGACGATGTTCACCCATCTTGAAAGGAAAAAAGCTCCAAGCCAAATACTGAGGTTGCGAAGGTCGATCTCGGGTGCGGCAAAAGCAGTAATCGCACGGTTCAAGACAACCGGGGAGAAGATATCGCATGCCATCGAGAAGAGAGAAACCAGCTCGCAGACAAAAAATGTCCATCCATAAGTGCTCACCATTGCCCTGATAAGAGACTTATCGTGTCGTTTGTAGTGCTGCACGAACTCGCTACAAGCTGCAGCCGACTGGTTTTCATCCTCGAGTTCCCATAGATCTTCAATGTCCAGTTGACGCACGTTGCCGGTACTTATGACTGGGTTAGCGTACGAGAAGAGGAGACTTGACCAGAACGACGGAGATGCGTGGGTACATTTCCTCGGTGATGACTCTCTAACGTCCGAAAAAGTGGAATAGTTGGGTGGTTTCGCGTTGTCAGATAAAGCGAGGGGCTTCATATTCCTTGTCTTGCCCTGTTGGTCTATGATCTTAAGCGCTAGTTGCAAAATGATTCTTTTACCGTCCTTGTCCGAAAAAAAGCTGAAGTCGTGTGTTATAACCAGTGCAACTGGAATACCGCAAGCAACGTTCTTCGTGTTCTTTGTGGCCTGTTTGCGGTAATCAAATCGTCATCATTACAAACACTGTGCTGTATTACGGACTTGTTGAGCATATTCACAGCAAAGCATTCAAATATGCACTGCGTGGCCAGTCAATTCATCCTCAGGTCAACAACCGAACTATCTTGCAGACAGCGTGAGTTTTATAAACACTATCGAGTGCGATATTTTTAAACAGAACATTAACATCCCACCGCACTACGAGTACTTGATTGTCTTTGCAAACTACTTGCCAAAGCCAAGCACGCTGTTGGTAACCAATAAAATAGGTCATTCCGACAATTGGTCACACTTTAGGTCACGGTACTGGGGTTGCACCCCCAGACCCCGCGACAGAAAAACAATATACTTGAGAGTGCAGTGGGTCCGTTCGCTATGGAGCTCGGCGCTAGGCCCGCCTCCGCAAATACCGCGCGGCCCTGCTTCGCGCATCACGTGTTTGCTGCGGATACGGGCCTCGCACACGCTCACTTCCGACTCGTGACCTATCCCAATACAAAAATTGAGATTATTGATGTGACCTAGTGTCGAATTTGACCTATTTTGTTGCCTTGTTCTGGGTCTACATGTACTGTACATTGCACTGTACAGCAATTTACGTTTATATTTCGTAAAAGTTGCACATGTAAACACGTACCATGCTAACAGTAGAACCCCCAAACTAGATGAGTGCATCGCTACTCGTTAACAACTTCAGCTTCTAGTATGCCTCCGTCCCCCAGCAACTATGCTTGAAAGCGGACAATTTTTTTTTTTTCCTCTTCGTTTACTTCGTGGGTCATTTTCCAAAATGCTTGGACTGTCGGATCTTTCTTGCGCGACGTAAGGTACTGCACTGGAACTTGTCGAGTGCACGTCTCCGTCATAGCGCCGATGTGGGAGTCGTCGGAATACGGTCGAATACACACCCACGCGGTCTCGTCAATATCCATCCCACTGAAGATTCCCTCGCCTTCCCAGAAGACCTTCCATATCATCACGACGCGATCTTCATGGTCAAATCGACGAGCTACGACGCGTTTCAAGATCGATACGCTAGTGTCTTTACTGAGCATCTTCTTGACGCGAAATTTGACTACAACAGTGTTGTCTGAGTCCGGTATATCTCGAAAAACCTCGCGGTCGATATGTCGATAGGGCAGATCCGCGATCTTCCACAAACTGCTGCATGTGTCCTCGAAGCTGAAAGGCTGCAGGAACTTGTTAACAAGTTGAACGTACTCGACTCCACCGTCCGGGTTGTGTCGATGGAGTGAGCTGATAGTGTTTACAGGTAGAGAGTCTATGCCACATTCGTTGAGTACTTTGTCGACCCGACCGTGACTATCGTAAAGGTCTTGAAGGTACGCTTCGTAAAGTGCTGTGTCGGATGACTTGAGACGGAGCCACTTCCGATCATCAACCTTGTCGTACACAACGCTTCGAGGAATGGACACCCATGTAGAAGATGAAGTTAGACTCGGTCGTTCGCGTGTTACTACACCCATGCTTTCGATATACGCTGCCTGAGCGTTCACCATAGCTGCTAGTCCATTCTTCTCTGCCTCGACTTGAAGTCGCAGATCGCGTTGGTACTGTGCCACTCGCTTCCAGAACGACTTGGCCAGGGCCAGATCCGTCCGCGCTGTCGTTTTGGCTCCTGCTCTCGCATCAAGGATATCCTGCACCTGTTTTGACAGGTCCTGTTCCTGTCGACGCAGTTCCTCATGTGTAGTTTTCTGACGCTGGCGATATTTTTGGCGTCGACGGCTTAGTTCAGCAGCGTCAATGCTTCGTTTGTTTCTCTTGGTCGGGACTCTCGCCTCCGCACTGCTACTACTACTGTTTTCTTCTTCAAAATCGTTTATCGGAGGTGGGGGAAAAGATGCTCTCCAACTGGACGGAAATCCATGATGTTGAAAGGCATCGTTCTGTAGTGACTTGCGAGGTGTGAGCCCTCGAACGAGGGTCTCTGTTTCCAAGAAGGCGGTCACTTGATCGAGAAATTCCAGGTCCGTTGCCATGATGGTAAGTTGGTGAATGATCTGAATACGGCGATATCGCCGTATTCAGACAAGCTCTTCACGCCATCACTGGCAACAACCAACAGCTGGAACTCACGGGATAACCAGTGCGTCTGTTATTGAGACAAGAACTCGGTGAATCACATTGTTGTCACCAAAGCAACAGCTGTGCGCTTATACTTGCAATTTTTCAGTACCGGTAGAGTCTCTAGGATCTGATGTGTTGCCTGTCCGCTAGGGCGTGACTAAACATAGTGTTCAACAGACGTCGCCAAATTAATTACTGAATTGCATTGACTGTATTTCCTGAACGAAAATGTGTATTAAGTTGGTTGAGACAGCTTTATATGATTTTAAATATTTCAATGCTGCAACAATACTAGCGTCATACCTCAACAATTAATTATTTTGATTAGGGCAGAAATTTTGCTATATATACGGACAGAATCCAAAAACACTGCTTTTACCGATGTAAGAATAAGAGAAGTAACAGTGTGACTAAACATGTTCTGGATTGCGCCCATGCACTCACTGACTCTGTACTTCTAATAGAATCCGCGCAGCTTTACTATTTAAAATGATAATACTTAGTTTGGTCGTAGCTATTAACGAGATGATCGATGCTGGTAACCCCACTTCCAGAAACCAACCAGTGGTACTGTGATTGTACCGTGACAACTTATTTCGTGGTTTTACGATAATAGGTTATAGCCAACGGAGTTACAGTATCAGCGGCAAGTTTTGCGTGAGAATATCTACTCGAAGCCGAAGGATTACGACCTAGTTACAGTAGATTTTCGCATGGATCATATCATTCCTGATGACTTGAAACAACAAAAAGTTGACACATTTGCGTGCATGTTTTCTCCTAGATACTATCATATCGTTAATACGCGACTCAATCGGAGTGGTGATCACTGTAATCAGTGTCACGTACACAGCTGTTAGATTGCAATCACTGATGGCGTGAAACTCTCAGATCCTGGTTGCGCCGTCTTCACAGTATCATATCATTCACAAAAGTTCTATTAACCAGCAACAGCAAGGATGATATCCGATCTGGAGTTTCTCAACGAAATGACAGCGTTGTTGGAGACGGAAAATCACGTCTCCGTCTCCGAGGCCACACCACGCACTCCCATCGAAGTCAACTTCCAGCAAAGCTGGGCAACCATCTCGACTCAGCACGATCATGTTAAAATCGACAATAATGAGGGCGAAAAACCGTCTACCAGGAAGAGCAAGCGTCACAGTAAAAATCCTGATCCCCGACGTAAAAAGTATCGCCTGAAGGCAAAAAGTCAACTTGACGAGCTGCGTCAAACAGCCGACGAGTTTTCCACAAAACTACAGGAGCTACTAGATGCAAGAAATGGAGCTCACACAACGGCACGGACGGATCTGGTGCTTTCCACGACATTCTGGAAGCAAATCGCAACGCAACAGCACGAGCAGCGTCTTCTTGCTGAAGCAGAACGCAAGAATCTCTTGGCGATTGTCAACTCGCAGGGCTCGTACATCGAGAGCATGAGGAACGTACCTCATGCATACGCTGAGGTGTCTTCCGCTCTTGCTCTCGTCGCACCAAATCGTGACTCTTTATGTGGTGTTGCTACGATCCACGACACAATTGATGATCTTAAGTGGCTTCGATTGAAGTCGTCCGTGGCGTCGGTGTATACGACATACCTGCAGGAGGTGGGCATCAGTTATGCTCGCATCGACCAGGTCTTCCGAGATGCTGAGATGGAATGCTTACCCATAGGAAAGGTCGATGGATGCTACAAATACAAGCCAACCGGGGAGCTCAAGTACTTCCAGCACCGAAATCGACTACTGCAACCCTTTGGCTTTCAAGCCGCGTGTCTGACCATGTGGGAATTATCGACGGTTGCACATCGACAAAACGATCGATACGTTTATTGTGACGTATCCGACCCGGAGAATACCAAAGCTGTCCAATTCCGCCTACGAAAGACACTGGCCAATGGCTCGCCTGTTTCGATCTTGAAGCACGTTGTGTCTCGTCGGTTTACTGAAAAAGACCGCGTAGTGATTGTATGGAAAGTGTTCTCCGAGGGCGAGGGAATCTTCAGCGGGATGGATACGGACGAAACCGCGTGGGTCTCTATCCGCCCGCTAAACGATGGATCAAAGAAAACGACATTGATGGAGTTCTGTTCTCGGCAGGTTCCAGTTCCCTATCTCACGGCAAACGCTCATGACCCGGCAGTCAAGGAATTTCAGAAGATGATGGAGGATGCGGTCGCAGAAGACGCTCAAATTGTTGCGAGCAAGTTGCAAAAAGCTTCTCAGCGAGCCCTGTACATACCGTGGCACTTAAGTAGCGTGGTAAAAAGTCAGAGGACCGAAATAACCGAGGAAAACGTTTCCTGATTAATGTGGGTAACGTTGAGTTTATTAGGAGATCGTAGTCGTCTTCATTTTGCTCTTTGGCGGCTGTGGTTTGTCTTTGCGCTCCAGGAGCATCATTTATTCTCAAAAATTCATAACTCCATCAAGTACGCGACTGTAATATGCCCCCACCCCCTTGATAGGATACCTTAGCGTTCATCTCAACCTCCTGGACATTTCTTTCCTGTTTAGAAGCGGCATCGATATACTAATATAATATCATTAACATTTGACAGAAGTAGCATGGAATTGGTACATTAAACTTTCCGGCATACTACAAAATACTGAAAAGTGCAATTTTATTTTTCACAGTCCAACCGTTTGAAAGCCTCCACCTACCAACCATTCGAAATTTGGTCTGCAGGCAGTGTAAGCGGAGGTTATACACTCTCCGGATTTGAGATGGCGATAATTAAGTTCCAGTACTACCTTCCGCTGTCTTCCAGTGAGCAGCACGCACTGGAGGATTTGTCGTGGATCCAATGAGTGTACACTTCTTTACGAGCTTGCGTTGCATTTGCTAAACCAAGAAGCAACGTGGCGCAATATAACGCACTACAGCACATTACGCCCTTATGGCCAATGCGGCAAGTGATTCTAATCAGGGCGCAAACCGGTGCGAACTTTGCTGCATACGTCAACCTTGCAGACAATCTTTGAATGGATGTTGCTTCAAATAGTGACATGTGAAACATTGCTACCCTTCTCGAGTGCGCTGGTAAAGAGGGAGAGTAGATAGTGCAGCATCAATAATCCGTCAAATTTTTTTTAATGATTGCAGCGACCAATATTATTATAAGGGTTCTAATTGGTACAGCTATTTGGGCAAGCGATCGTCTCCAATAGCATTGTACATTGCATTTACGATGACCTGTGCGCACAGTATCCCCATTTGTGTAGAACAGAGTATATGCGTGTCCACACATCTGTTGAGTCGACCGTCTCTGGGTGGCGATCGCGAGGGCTTCCGAGTTGGTTTTGCACATGGAGTCGAACATGACAGTTGTGACATTAGTGTAATAATTGGATTGCCAAACTTAATGCCACCTCCAAGATTTCGACAAGTACGCAAGCATCCTGCTTTCATTCAGGGCGATCGAGTATTGTGCTAGGCGACACCGCCTCATCGTGCCGTTAGCATGGATACTTCATCGCGTCACGCCGTGAGTCCACCCATATCCGTCATGAAGTTTCGTAATGCTGGACGTCGTCTGGTGTCCATCCAGGCGGACGTTAGTCACCTTTGTTGGAAGTGCACGGTGTGCACGGATGTCGACGCCATGGTAGTATCTTGGGTTAAGGCTTGCGGTAGGCACTATGATACGTCTAAACGAGCCAGAGTAAGGTTAGTCCTTCATTATAATAAACTTTGCGATATACCTTTCTTATTGGGGCTTGATGGATAAGAAGCCAGTCGAACCACACGCGCATGTCTAACAGCGTGACTTCTGCACCTTCGAGGGCTTTCGTAACTGACTCCACCTTTTTAAGCTCCTTTAATAGACTTGTAGATTGGTAAGCCACTGACGAGGCCCCGGATTGGGCCGAAACGCGTCTAGCACGCGTTCAATCCAAGTCACCTGCAGGACTGACGTCCTTGCTGTTGGTTGCTTGTGTGCTCTGTAGCAGCACTAGCTAGGCGCTTGATGTTTGCTCGGCGTGGTAGATTGAAGACTGATTGTATTTAGTTGTTATGCAAGCCTGTTTGGCCTGTAAAAGTATGCATCCTCCTCTGTAGGAGTTTCCTAACTGCTCGTTCTTCCTTCGTACTCCGTTGTTGCCCTCCTTCGCATTCTTCTGGAGCCGCTCGTCGTCCCACTCTTGCTGCGACGTTTCAAGATCTCCTCTCAATCTCCTCCGAGTTCCGACACTCCTTCCCGGGCGGTCAACCTGATAACATTACGAGCTCTCTTAGCTCTTTGAGCCGTGTTGCCGGGAGAGGCTTTGTCAGGATGTCCGCACGCATTTTCACGGACTCGCAGTACTCTACAATCAGCACCGCCTTCTTGACAAAGTCCTTTACAAACTTGTGACGAGTGTCAATGTGCTTTGCACGTCCTGACGTGTCTTCTCCTTCTAACTGAGCAATGGCAGCTTGGTTGTCTACGTGGAGCACCAATGGCTCACGTAGTTTTAAGCCTATCTCCTCCAGACACCCCATGATGCCAAGCATCTCTGCCGTCGTCTGCGACGCCGCCACGAACTCGGACTCCATGGTTGACAGTGCAACGCACGCTTGCTTCTTACACAACCACGCTACTACCACACCTGCCACCATGAGCACTCCCCCTGTTACTGACTTCCTGTCTTGTTTGTCTGACGCATAGTCTGCGTCACTGAACGCTTCTACCAACACGCCGTCGTTGTCCATTGCATTTTCGTTCGTGTTCATTAGGAATTTCAACTTGCTGGTTCCTTTCAAGTACTTGGCGATCCTTTTCGCCAATCTCCAGTCGGCCTCGGTTGGCGCGTGTGCATTCCTCGTCACGCGATGTACCGCGTACGAGATGTCGGGTCTCGTGCATCTCGAGATCCACAGTAAACTACCCACTAAAGACTGAAATGTCTGCACTGTCGGGCGTCTCGGGCTTCCAGCGCCACCGCTTGGTAACAGCTCACCAGGCTCATCACCGTCCTGTCCGCTCCCTATTGGTGTACGCACTGCCGCTGCCTTATCTAGTTCGAACTTCAGCAACATATCTTGGATCGCTTGTTCTTGGTCCAGTGCCCAGCCGTCCTTCTCGTCGTAGTGGAACGTGATTCCGAGAAACTTAGAAACTACGCCCAGATCTTTCAAATCCACGACCTGCATGTCGTCGAAGAACTTGTCAACTTTGTTCTCGCTCGTTGCTGTTACTAATATATCATCGACGTAGATACCCACGAGTGTTATGCCGTCGCCTTCTGTCTTGACGTACAAGCAACTGTCCGTGTAGCATTGTCGGAAGCCCAGCGACACCAGGATGCTGTGCAGTAGGTGGTTCCACAGCCTGCCTGACTGCTTTAACCCGTAAAGTCCTTTCTCCAATATCAATACTAACTCGTACTTGCTTGTCACACCCAGAGCCTTGAGTTGCTCCTCCGTGAACTCCATTCCCTGCGGAATCAACAGAATGATGACTAACTCTGCCTCCTTCTTTGCCTTTACGTAGGCACTTGGTACATCCCCGTGACGCGCCGGAACTTTCCAGATTCGCGACACTACCAAGATCACCTTGCCGGACACCATTTCCAGCACGGCGGAGAACGTGAAAGTGTAATCCACACCATATTCCTGTTCATCACCACGAGCGACCAGCGTCGCCTTGTATCGTTCGATAGTACCATCCGCATGTGTTTTAAGCTTGAATACCCATTTGGTGTGCAAGCATTTCGCTCTAGGCGGCTTCTTCGCCACCCTCCACGTGCCGTTTTGCTCCAATGCATCAAGTTCCTCCTTGATGGCTTGCCTCCACTTGTCTGCACGCGGGTCTTTCATCGCTTGTCTGTAGTTTTTTGGGTCCTTATACACTACAGCGTTCACCCTGTTCACTTGTACATGTTTAGCTCCCATATTGCGAGTGCGCATACGTGTTGATTGTTCTTCCTCAGCTGGAACTTGTTCTTCGTTCTCATTAGCTACTCCTTCCCTTTCGGTAGCGTCTTCTCTTGCCTTTAACTTGTTCTTCTTGCTACTTTTCTTGGATTTATTTGACTGTATCTTCTTCTTCTTCTTCGACTTGCCTGTGGACCTACTGCGCTTCTCTCTTTCTGACGTCTTGCCGCCTTGTGACTCTTCGCCGGTCGTCTCCTTCCGACTCGCAGCTCCCTCGCGATCTTTCACTGCTTTCTTCAGTTCTGGGTCCTCGAGCTCCAGTTGTGCTTGCAACTGGGCATTCTGCTTTGCATCCAGAGTCTCCACGTTCTTAATATGCTGTGTCGTGATTACAATCCGGTCCTTCGGTAAGTATACTTTGTATCCTTTTGTCTCGTCGTTCTTACCAATTATCATACCGACTTGTGCTCTTGGTTTCCAAGTCTTCTTACCAGTGTCTCTGAATGCCGTACAAGGACTGCCGAACGTGACGATTTCCGACAGATTTGGAGCATTACCAGTCAGCATCTCTAGTGGTGACAATCTCTTTGTATTTGCTCTGCACGAGCTACGGTTGAGTACGTAGGTTGCGTACTCGATGGCATCTCCCCAAAAGTATAAGGGCAATCCACTGGCGAATAACATGCATCTCGCCATGTTTAGCACCGTTCTGTGCATCCGTTCTGCTTTCCCGTTTGACGCTTGGTTCTCCCTCTCGCTAATCTGACGACGCACTCCAGTCGCCATGCAGAACGGGTCTACGTTTGTATACTCCTTGCCTCCGTCGGTCCTGAGTACGTGAATTCTGCAATTAAATCTCTTCTCGAAGTACACTAAGAAGTGCTCGAACTTCTTCGTTGCCTCAACCTTGTTCTTGGCCAGAAACACTCTCACATAGTTTGTAGAGTAGTCAACAAAGTTGATTAAGTACCTGTTACCACGTCTGTCCTTGGGTGTCATGTGTCCTTTGATGTCGCTACCTATAACACCTCCAATCTTGTCAATAGGAGCGTTTGCACCTGTGTCTTTCTTCGACTGATTGTTCTTACTTTGCTTGCCTTGTGCACAGGTCAAGCAGTTGAGACGCACCCTGCTAGTCAGTCTGATACCCGACCCAGTCGCGTCCGCCATGCGTTCTGCCGTGTCATACGAGATGTGTCCTAATCTTTTATGTAGTTCCAGTAGCGTAGTTTCAGTCACCGTATCATCGAGTACTTTGTTTGCATCTTTCAATGGTCTTGTTACCGCGTTAATCCTTGCTTCCCTTGTAGCTTCCCCCATAGTGTCGATCATCAATACATTATGACGTCTATGGACCTCAAACACATGCAATCCATTCTTCTGTTGCACCATGTAGCTTTTGCCGCTATGCCGTTCAAGGTACACGCCCTTCATCTCTAGTCTGCCGTAACTCATGATATTGTCGGCCAGATTCTCAGCGTAATGAACATCCGATATGTCCACCGCAATCTCACGACCATCCACAATCGTTCTGATTTCCACGGAGCCCTTCTTAATCACGTGGATATCCTCTCCGTTTGCCGCCCTGTATTGCTCGTCACAGTCTACGGCATCCTTCAGTAGTTCCATATCCTTGACTAAATGCACGCTGGATCCGCTATCCAAGATCCACGCGTGTGTGTTGTCACTTGTGCCGGTCCCTATCGCTAATGAGACCTTGGTTTCATTGGCACCATTGTTCTTCTTCTTTTCTGGACAATTTCTTGCTATATGTCCAACTTCATCGCAGTTGAAGCACGTGCGGGTTTCTTTGCCTCCGACGCGTGCAATTGTTTCGACTCCTTGTCCACCTTGGTTTCCTTGGCCACCACCATGAAATCGACCGCCATGTCCTTTGCTACTCCGACCTCCATGACTCCGAAACTGGTCGTTCTTGACAATACTTGCCTCATATTCTATAGCAAATGCAACTAACTCCGTAGCTTGCTGTAAATGATCAACGCGCTGCGAGTTCAGTCTCGTCAGCATTGCACTTCGAAGATACACGGGTGCCGATTTGCACAAGCATTGCAAGACGTGTAGATCTGAGCACCCCGAGCGTTCCGCCACGTACGTCAAGTACTGGAAGTGCTCAGCCCAAGTCCTGTCCCGATGCTTCTCGGTGGTCATCAACTGCAGCCCTTTGGACGCCGTGATTGTCGTCATATACGGCACCAGCATTCGATTCATCACATGCTCCAAAGTGGGCATCTCCGCTGTCCAGAGTGGAAGCATTCTCTCAAAATACACTAGTGCAGCTCCATCCAATTTTCCATTTAGTGCGAGAATACGGAATTCCTCCGACCAGTCTCCACCGCTCATCTGCTGCGCTGCAGCGAGTCTCTGTAGGAATCTCAATCCCCATGTCTTAAAATCCGCGCCAAGGCCAGGATATACTTCCTTGCCTGTGAACTTCGCGAAGCCCGCCCAATCCAGGTCGCGTGGCTTCGGCACCTTGATTCCGAAGTTCGGTGGCGGTACGAATTGCTCCGCCGTGGGTCCGTTCATCGGCTGTTGCACGTTCGTTGTGTCTTCCGTCTGTGGCGTCGCCATCTCAGGTGCTGGCGTTGCCTGAGTTGTCGTCCTCATTGACGTATCGAGAGATCCTACTCTCATGCGTCGGGCTCGAGCCTTGATGAAATCCGTGAATGCGCTTGATTCTTCATACTTATGCTCGAAGGACGACGTGCGCTGCTGCATCTGCTTCTGAAGCTCTGCTTGATTAGCCATGAACTGTGCCTGTTGCTTCGCCATACCTTCGAGGAGTCCTTCTAATCTGTCCAGTCGCTCTGAGCTTGCGCTTGAGTTCCGGCTTCCCCGTCCAGGAGCATCGGACGCACCTGAGTCAGAATGCGTCCCCTCGAACAACTCGAACGGGTCTGCAGCCACGTTCAGCCCGTGAACATCGGTGTCGTGGACGTCACGCGGGTTTGGTCGTTGTGAGGTCTCGTCGGAACCCGTTGGGCTCATAACCTGTTGGTTGCTTGTGTGCTCTGTAGCAGCACTAGCTAGGCGCTTGATGTTTGCTCGGCGTGGTAGATTGAAGACTGATTGTATTTAGTTGTTATGCAAGCCTGTTTGGCCTGTAAAAGTATGCATCCTCCTCTGTAGGAGTTTCCTAACTGCTCGTTCTTCCTTCGTACTCCGTTGTTGCCCTCCTTCGCATTCTTCTGGAGCCGCTCGTCGTCCCACTCTTGCTGCGACGTTTCAAGATCTCCTCTCAATCTCCTCCGAGTTCCGACA